ATTGTATTTGTAAAATAAGCTTAATTAGCCATTTTCAATTTCACATTTCACCATATACTAGCTAACTTTACTTTAAGCTAGCTAACATCACTGTAAGCTAGGAATCGACTCCTCCTGTTAGTGTGGAACACTGTCAATCAGTGATGTTAGTTAGGAGTTAGTAGAAGGCTCAAGTTAGATGCTGTGTAACAGTTGATTTAAGGTTATCAGATATGTTGTTTTGATTTGAAATAATTGAGCAACAAATCAGAGGAAAATGGCCAACCCGTACTACTGACAAAAGCCCAATCAGCTTCTCTCTTCCTTTGTCTCAGTGCCTGTGTCTTTTCATGGTGCATGCACAGCCAAACCAACACAAATGTATTTTTAGCCACTCTGCCGTTGTTGACCGTTAAGCCCCTAGGCTGAGTTTGATGTATTTTTACTCCCTGGCACTTAAAAGCATCCAAATTTTGCTATCTTTGTAGTGCTACCTACATCCTCTCTTGCTGTAGTGTTCACTGTCTCTACCTCCCATACTGTAGCTGAAGAGTTGCTTTTGGCAGTGTCTGATTGTTGTAAGGGTTTGAGCTAATCCAATAAGAGGGCCCCGTTTGTAGACAAGACACTGTTAAGTTGTCAGCAAGCCATGCTGCTTAAGAAATAAGAAAGCCTTCAGATGCCTGAGTGAGTCAGCAGTACACGCACTGAATAGTGCCCACAGAAAATTTGTATTGCATTAATTAGACTTTGAGATGGCTCTAGTAGAAAAATATCCAAACATTGAAGTGAACCTGCAGTAAACAGCAGAACAGCACCATCTTGTCCCCATATCCATGATATTCTCTTTATTTATTATGAAGTTAAATTTGTTTTGACTTTTTTTAGAATAGTGTTTAGGTTGAACCCTGAAGTACTGTAGACTTGAACCTTGAATTTTAACAACATTTTCAAACTTTTCAGAAAAATGTGGAACTTCAACTGTATGCATATCAGTATTAGGTACTTTATAAAAAACTGCACAGTATCAAGCATTAGTTAATTCATAATCCTTTATCTATTAAGCATTTTTTCTATATTAATACTTATTTATATGTAATATATAACCACAGTTTTCTCTCTTTATAGATAGGAATCACCATTTTTATATCAACTATTACATCATTTCTAATCATGTATGGAGAAGTCGTCAGTGGTTCATAAGATCGTTTGTTAAGTGTCAGGAAATGACAAAAAAAAAAAAAAACATAGTGTGGAGTTCTTATAAAGTGTTTCCAAATTTTCTATTTCCCTAGTTTTCTCCTCTATAAATGTTCATCTTCTAAACAATATTTCTAATTATCAAATCACAGATTTTAAGTCCTAAAACCTGCTCAGTTTTTTTTTTTTAATTTCAAAGATGCCACAGTGCAATGCATAGAAATGACTGTTTGAGTGATGAGTGTACGGCTGCAGATAAGTGCAATAGACGAGTTCCTCTAAACGGTTAGCAGACATATCCTGATGTGTACTTGTTCTCACTCGTCCATTGTTCTATGAAGGAGATATATCAACCACCCTCTCCCTTTTATTTTCCTTCGGCTTTTCAAGCATAAAAGATGACTTCCTCTCCTCTTCCTCTGTCTTTTTTGTGTGTCCTGAATGTAAATAAAACATGACTTCACGAGGAAAGTCATACAGAAAACTGAGAAACTGGAGATTTCTCTTGTTTAGGGCAATTGTATTCAAAAGCCAATCCATCAGCTGTAAATAATTCATACTTAAATCACCATAAGTGAGTCAGCGGTTGGGGTATATTGAGTAACACTGACAGCAAGCAACATCATTATAAGCTATGTTGAAATAATTTCTTAGTCACTATAAAATGCTTATTCATGGATTCTTTTATAAAGGAGCTCTATATCAAAGTCTGTGTTGTCAGACAAGATGTTACATTGCTCAAAAATGTAAAACAGCAATTTACTCAAATATCCAGTTGGCTCTTGGCCTACCATCTTTCCCTCTTAATCTAAATATTGCTTTGGCAGTGTGTTAGCAAACATCAGCTGGTTTGGTTGTGTTTAGAATAAGTTTTAGTGTCATTCAGCAGACTCACACCAATCTGTTTGTCAATGTAAGAGTTCTGAGTTTGCACAGTTACTGCATGGTGGGGCTTCATGTAATTAGCTGTAGTCATGGTGAGGTGTTGAAACAGCAGCCAATGAAGTAAGCTGAGCACTGATTGCATAAAAAGCTCTGCTGCAAAGAGTCAATAATGTCACATCCTTCAGCTGAACATTTTAACTGTCTCAAAGGTTTTGTAAAAAAAAAATTGTCAGATCACCTTGCATGATTTTTCTTTCATTTTTTTTCATCAGTGGTGTCAGTCATAGACCCTGTTTCCTTAAAAACACTTTCTAGGTAGACCCAGCATTCATTTCAATAGGTACAATAGTTTATAGTTAAACACCTTACTAAAACCCAGTTTTTAGAATTTATGACAAGTACTGTTTCCCCTTTTTCCAGTCAAGTCACCAGTTAATACATGAGCTGAAATATCAGTACAACAAGAGGAACTCTTTTCAAAATGGGATCCAACTAGTTTGTCAGTGAAACAAGATGACACAGTTAAAAAAATTACTCTATCCATTAATCAATTCTTATTTAAAGCACCATTTCACATCAAAAGCTATCTGTGCCACGTGACATTTGGACCAGGTCGAAACTCTACTCTTTGTCTACTCTTATTTAAGGAGACCCCACATTAATCCACCAGTGAGCTAGACTAACCTAACTAGACTAGACTAGACTTCATTTTAACAGTCAGAGACCTCGAGCACAACCCGACTCCTTGTCTAAAGAGCCATCCATCAAACCTCTGTCCCTTATTCATTTCTTATGCAGCACTGATAAATGCCATTTACATCAATTATAATGCTATGCTAGTTTGAAATGCTCAGCCATAGTTGGGGCTTTTGATAGTACAAAATCATTCATTTAATTCATTCACAAGATAAAAGATAGCTTAATGCCTCAATGACTGAGTGCAAACATCAATCAAGCCAGTTATGTAACCATAATGAAATGCAATGACAGTCACAATGCAAGCTCATACAAACTTCAATTGATGAAGTAAAACTAGAACTATTTTGTCCTTTTTAGGCAGCTTTAAAGAACCTTAAATGCCCCAAATGAAGTTAACCATTTACTAGTCTTCCATCCATCCAAATGACAGCAGCAACGACGGATCCCTGCAGAATTAATGATTATCTAGCAGTGACAGTTGCAGGGCAGGATTCTCATTTACTGTGTGGATCAGTACTACATCGACAAACTGTACAACAGCTGGTGTTTATAAGTAGAAATGCAAGAAGTTGGTGTGCAGTTCCAGGATTGTGGGCGCAGTACCCCAGTGTTCACGTTAAGTGTCTGTTATCACAGTAAACAATGCACTTGGGTTGTTAATAATGCACACGTTCTGTTCGAGTGCTTCAAGGTTATTTACCACATCATTAAAAATAAATCTGCATGTGCATCCAGTTAAACAATAGAAATAATCAGCAGGACTTCATACCTATAAATAATCAACCATTCAGATTGCTTGTTGGAATCTACACATTTGCACTGATGAGCATTCGGGACACAAATGAACCAAATAAATGTTTCATTCTGTAAATGCAAAGGTTCTCCCCCTGTGGATATTCTGATTTAATATGTGTGTGTGTGTGTGTGTGTGTGTGTGTGTGTGTGTGTGTGTGTCGTGGTTACAAACAATCCGTGGGCTCTGGTGTGAGTACTAATGAACAAAGAGAGAGAAATGACTCTGTACATGCTTCTCAGCGAATACATTTATTGCCAAGCTTCAAGGTATTGGTTCTTTGTCAAGGAAATTGTACCTTGACAAAAACGGTTTTGTTTGAGACCTCGGTAATAAATGTATTCACTGAAGCCGAGTGCACGGTTCTGTTTTTCCTTCTTCTCCTTTTTGTTGATATCTATTCTGTGCATCAGTGCTACCATGACTAAAACCAAGATTAATTGCTTTCATATCTCTGGTGTGAGATCCCAACTACTGCTGCTGCACACATAGAAACACACACGCAGTGTCTTCGTATTAAGCACGTTTGTGCACATGGTACATTGTGTACCAAATCAAAATGAATCTGCATGGATCAGAATGAGACAGTCTAATTGACAGTGAGGCTTCGATGCTGCGCTGCATGCATGTCCTCTCAGCTGTAACTACACTCTTAGAGTGGTGGATTAAAAGGAAAGACATAAAACATAAAGCACCATGCTCGAGTTTCTTAGCTGCAGAAACACATGGAGAAGAGATGCAAGTGTGCATCTGTGCAGAAACCAGCAGCTATTGATGAAAGCGCTTGCTGATTTCCACATGTTTGCATCTCTGTACTCTTCATATGTGTCCATCTGCATACAGATGATGCAGATAGAGCTTGTCCATCCCTTGAAGGAAGGCTTTATGTGCATGTGACATTAAAGTAGAGAGGGAGCGAGGCGGCTTATTACAAAGCAGGAGGAGGAAAAGCTGATGCATAATGCACCTCTGTGGACAGAAAACATCAGAGCAGTGAGGCCATCGGCTGCTTCTGACAGCATCAATTCCACTTCCTCAATCACCTGGCCAAAACTAAATGTGTGTGTGTGTGTGTGTGTGTGTGTGTGTGTGTGTGTGTGTGTGTGTGTGTGTGTGTGTGTGTGTGTGTGTGTGTGGTGTGTGTGTGTGTGTTTGTGTGAGGGGGGTGTAGAGGAAATCACCCTACTGCTGGAATATGTAAGTAGTTTGGCAGCTATAGTGACTGAGCAACATCATGTGAGCAGAGAGAGTGAGTGTTTTTTTTAATCTATGAGTGGGAGAGGTTGAGATCAGGAGAGAAAAAAAGAAACAGAGAGAAGGAAGAAGGGAGAGAGCAAGTGTGCAGCTCTGAGGCGTTCCATCATCCACCAAACTCCTGCAGCTCCCCTCATCCCTCCCTCCTCCTCCTAGAGAGAGAGAGACAGAGAGAGGGAGCAACAGAAAGAGAGAGAGAGAGAGAGAGTCACGCTTACAAGCCAGCGGAGAAGAGACGTCAAGAGGAGGATCTACAGAGGGAGAGAGAAAAAAATCCTTCCCTCTCTCCTGCTGCCTCTCTTCGTGCATCCTACGGGCAGCGAGGAGCGAAGAAGAGGAGCGAGGAGGAGCCGTCCATCCGTCCGTCCGGCTGGCATATTTTTTCTACACTGCTTCCTTCCTTTCCCCGCGTTTTCTGAGGCTGTACGACGGTGGGTGGAGCGCAGGGAGAGCCGCCGAGAGCTCAATCGGTGACACTGCTCCGCAGCAGCAGCAGTAGCAGCAGCTGAAGTAGAAGAAGAGGAGCGTCGGGATGCTTAACAACCTGACCGACACAGAGGAGGGGGACGGAGGAGCGCAGAGCCAGGGTGAGTGATGGGATGTGTCATGTGGTGTCACACACACACACACACACACACACACACACGAGCAGTTGAGCAGATACAGGAATATTCATATGATAATGCAAGACACATAGTGTACACACTCCCACACAAACACATGAATATTAGAGCACATAATACATACATGCATCATTAAGGTTTACACACGCAACCTGATGCAAGTGAGCGGCCATTGGAAGAAGAAGAAGACGAAATGTGTGTGAGCATATGAGTGTTACAGCATTGTACGATGGTCGGCCTGCTTGCCTCCTCTGCTGCTGCTCTTACTGCAAGGCTGTTGTGACAGGAATAGTAATAGGCTCACTCCATACGATGGATGGTGAGTGTAAGGGCATTTCAGCTCTGTCCAACAAACACACACACACACACACACACACACACACAATAATGCACACAACGGCACATGCAAAGTAGCATACAATCGAATATACCGGACATGCATGCAGAATACAGAGCGTTTTCTGGTGCATGGTAACATAAATACTCCCACCACATATGGCACTCTGTGGACAGCCAGTACGGGCATGTGTACACAAAGGCACGCGCACACACACACACACACACACACACACACACACACATACACACTAACACACATACACACACACATACACAAGTAAAGCCACTCACAATTACAGATACCAAGCCACCATTGCTGCTAATCCCATCGCCCCCAGCTGTCAAAATCAGCCCTCCATCCAATCCCCAGCGCTCAGCCTGGTCCTCAGTCTCTACGGGGGTTCTGGAGAAAAACCTGTAGGTTGTTGGTTTTGTAAAGAGCGGTTTTGAGTGCTCTTATATTGGCTGTTCAACAGAGAGCGCGTACCTTCTCAGGCCCAGAGGAGAATTGAACCTATTCTTTTAAGTGCTGGCAACACGAAAAGCACATTTTGGAGCTTTACTAAATCACTAGTGCTGTCAAATTCCCAGGTAACCTTTGGTTTGGCGTTCATTTTAATACCCTGAATCTGAAGCTGAAAACCAGCTGTGTTCTTTTTACCTCTGTGCTGTTCTAAGTGAAGGATTTTATCTCTGCACACATCCCCCCCTCAAGGCCAAACTATCTCCCTCACTGTCCTCTTTTTTTCCCCCCTTATGTTTCTACATTCATCGCAGCTTATTCCCCCCTTACTCTTTCTTGCCTCTCATTCTGCGCTGTGCAAAAATCTCCCTGTTTTTCTGTCGTCAGTCCAGGACTCTCAGGGATGCTCTGTGGAGACAGGTTGCGGATGAGAGAACAGTCACTATGCTGCTTTCTCCTACCTGTGAGGGCTTAATGATAAAAATAGACCAGCACTGGGAACATGAATATTTAACTTAATGCGGGCATCTCTTTTGTGTGTGTGTGTGTGTGTGTGTGTGTGTGTGTGTGTGTGTGTGTGTGTGTGTGTGTGTGTGTGTGTGTGTGTGTGGGTGGGGAGAGGGGGATTACAATGACGGTCTGAGAGCACGGACAGCAGTTGTAAGAGGTTAGCAGCCGGGTTGAAGCATGACCCCATTTATAAGTGCGTCAAATTGGAACCATCAAGGGCAGGTTAGCAAGCGTGACATGAAGCCAAATAACAGCGCATGCAGAAGTGTCAAGCTAATATGATTACTTGAGTGTGAGCCTCTCCCTTTTTTGCTCTGTCAAGTTCACCGTCTGATTTACATATGTGTGTGTGTGTGTGTGTGTGTGTTGTTGGTGTGTGTTGGTGTGCATCCATGTGTGTGCAGAATAGAGTTTGAACGTGGGCGCACATGATCATACTGAGCACATGCTAATGTGCTGAGAATAAGTGTGGTTGTAGGTTGTTACTTGTTATGCTATATAAAGATGTCAGGCTGTTAAACTCGTCAGGCTGTACTCTATATAAAAATTATCAATCTGGGGCACAGATGGCCTAGCGGTTAGGTTGTGCTCAATGTACAGAGGCAATCGTTCCTTTGCTGCATGTCATTCCCCACTCTCTCGTCCTGGTTCCTACTCTATCCACTCTCCTATCCAATAAAGGCAAAAAACCCATAAATAAATCTTCAATTTTGTCGCTGATAGTCTTTTTTGCTTTTGTAGGTCATAAAGAGGCATCAGTTCTAATTTCAGTCTGTTTCATAACCAGTCAAAAACTTCTCAAGAAACGTAAGCCTATAATTTTTGAGTTTGGTGCCTAAAAACAACCAAACAGTGTCTATTTAGTAAGGTTAACCACATGCTGTCTTATAAAAAAAAGTAAAATTAAAATTAAATGTTTGCCATCAAGATTGATTTAAAATCTGACCTGATTTAGCTTATTAATATCATTAACTTGACAGCTTTATTTTGAAAGTCTAAGCAGACATTGCATAATCCTTATTGCTGACTTAACTGTGGATCTCTTCTCAAGCCAAATGTTACCTATCATCACTTTTTGTAGCTTAGGGCTGCTAACCAAGCTGTATTGTGTTATTTTTTTGAGGTAAAACATGTTGAATGTGCACACATTAGGACCCTCACCAAGAGCGGTCTGTGCCAAACACCTCCTCCCCCCAACACCTTTCATAATCTCCCTCTGTTTCTCCCTGTGTCACTGACTCTCCCCCATATCTCTCTCTTTTTTGTCACTCTGCAGCAACATATCTCAACACACACACACACACACACACACATCTTTCCCTTTCATCTGAATCACAGCTCTGCTAAGCTAGCAGTGTAACAACCTGAATAACTCTGTTTAGTCATCAGTACTACATGCAGGACAGCTTCTGATAGGGAGGGTCTGTAGCCTCTTTACAGGAGGAATGTCAGAGGCTGTCGCTGTCCATCTCTCCTGGTGCTGAAAGCGGCTCCCCCCTCTTTCTCTCCCGTTCAGCTCAGGGCTGCCTGGCGCTGTCCAAGGTGCTGATTTATAGCCTTCATTACACGGCTGGGTTACAACCCGGGAGAGGACAGCACAACCAGTTACAAACAGCAGCTGTGTGTGTGTGTGTGTGTGTGTGTGTGTGTGTGTGTGTGTGTGTGTGTTTGCACTGTGCACCTTTTTAATAAGCACGCAAAGATGAAAGGCATCATTCTCAGGGAAATTAAAAAAGCTTCTAAGGAAACTCAAAGAGAAGTGGATGCAGGTTGAGTCAAAGCCAGATTCTTACATATTCATAAGTTGTCATGTTGCTTTCACAGCATATTGTTAATTATCTTCAGATTTTTTTCTCTTTGGAGAAGAGGAGAGGTGAGGTGTAAGATGTGCCAGGAGGAGGGACGCAATCAAGAGTTGAAGGGAAGGTGAGGCTTCAGTGATCATTTGCAGCACACAGAGGGTGTAATGGCAGAGCAGGGCTTGTTATTGTAGGACAAGAGAGGAAGCTGTTACCGTCTGAAAGAGTTAGTGATACGGGGTGATGAATCCCAAAGGGGGTGATGGTCGACAAGTTGTTGATTTAGTCTAAAGGAGTACAATGGTGTAGAGGGATTTCGTGTTTCAGGGATTTTGTTTAACCTCGCATTAAGGATAATTCAAGAACATGAAAGAACGTGACGGGAAAAAAATAAGTACTCAGGTCACAATCATGAAAGCCATTATAGGATATACAACAGTTATACAAATTTTAGACCCTAAGTGGAAAATCTATAAATGTTAGAATATATGAACAATAAAAATAAAAATAATCTGACAAATATAAAAAGATGAATGAGTGTACTTCTCCATTGCACGTGAGACAAAATGCAGAAAATGCTAAATAAATCTAAAGTCTTAGGGGTCCCCAAAACATATCTGTGAAGTTTCTTGATATAAATCTGGTCCTGTATTTGATCATGCCTATAAACCTCTCTATTTCAGCCCTACTGCGAACAGGCTGTTTCTGTGTCTGTAGCTTTAAATGCAAATGAGCTGTGTCTGACCACGCCCCTCTCTGGAAGGGCTTGGTTGTCTTGGGCTTTCTTCCCCCATGCCCGGTTGTTTACAGTAAGAAGGTAGAGTCAGAGGGCAGAAAAAACACCTAGCTGTGGGAGTGTTACCCAGCTGAGGAAGGGGTTTTGCCCTTGGTGATGTCACAAAGGGAAATCTACAAAGGGAAAACACATTTTCTGAAAAGTGGTGCAGGCAAAAGACGGAGAGGATGGACTTTTCTTATAATTTGGGGGTTTGTAGACGGACTAGAGACACACATTAGTGTTAGAAAAACATTATAAAGAGTATTGTGCATTATATGTGACAAGATATTTTCCAACAGTCCCCATATCAAATAGTTAAGATACAATAAAAAGAGGCATATCTGCAGCTTGACATATGCCTTTTGGTTAAGAAGAGTATACATATTATGTGGTTGAACAAATACTACAATTTAGATTCTGCCATCATTAGAGCATGTTTACAGAGTGTCACAGTGTTTGCTCGGACGGTCAGAGCACTTGTTGTTTATGCTGCTGTTGGTGTGCCTGACTTCTTGTTAGCAAGCAGAAGTAATTTCATGCTACTTCTCCGAATGTTTGTTACTGTCTGCACTTTTTCATTTATGTATTAAGTTGCTCATTAATTTCTCAGTTCAGTTTATTCGCCCCGGTTTAATGACTGAGTCATTTTTGAGTTGTGTGCATAATTGAATATTGCTTATGAGTTCTGCCTGGACAGCATTAAGCTCAGCAGGTCGACTGACGGCTGATAGCCTGCTCACTATGAACAGATCACACTCTGGGGGCTTATTTAGAAAACCTCTCAGACATTAATGGCTCTGTTAGATGGATACTTTTTATTGATCCCATGCAGGTGGAGTTAAATGTCAAACCAATATATCAACAAAAATACATGGAATATTTAGATAACAAACTTTAACAGGGCAAAGTTAAAACCGTGTATGAGGCTGTACGGCCAGTGTGTACCTGACAACACAAGTCAGTCTAGTGTTCTTTTAACTAAAGGACAACAGCCACTGGAGGAACTCCATTAGATAAATGACCAATGGCGTAACCTCATCACTCACTCAACAAAGCAGAGACGGAGAAATCCCCC